TGGTAAGTTTTATCCTGCAATCCATGAACCAGTTTAGTAGCCCTTCTCTGAACTCTCTCTAACGTATCAATATCCTTCTGAAGATACGGTCTCCAGTACTCCGTACAATACTCCAAGTGAGGTCTCACCAGTGTTATGTACAATGGTATGAGCACTTCCCTCTTTCTACTGCTAATACCTCTCCCTATACAACCAAGCATTCTGCTAGCATTTCCTGCTGCTCTATTACATTGTCTGCCTACCTTTAAGTCATCTGAAATAATCACCCCTAAATCCCTTTCCTTAGATATTGAGGTTAGGACTCTATCAAATATTCTGTACTCTGCCCTTGGGTTTTTACATCCAAGATGCATTATCTTGCACGTATCCACATTAAATGTCAGTTACCACAACTCTGACCATTTTTCTAGTTTACCTAAATCATTTGCCATTTGGCTTATCCCTCCTGGAACATCAACCCTGTTACATATTTTAGAATCATCAGCAAAAAGACATACATTACCATCAAGACCTTCTGCAATACACTAATAAAAATATTAAAGAGAATGGGTCCAAGTACAGATCCCTGAGGTACCCCACAGGTGACAAGCCCAAGCTTCGAATATACTCCATTGACTACAACCCTCTGTTGCCTGTCACTCAGCCACTGCTAACCCATTCAACAATATTGGAATCCAAACTTAAAGATTGGGGGCGTGTCCGGCAGCCGACGAAGATGGACGCTTAAACCCGGAGCTCCTCGTGGCATCCGCACTAACCGCATCACACAGCCGTCCTAGCTCACCCACACACCGCAGATGGGCCGCACAAAGAGACAGGCTGACCCTGGCAGCACCCCTAGACCCTCGGGACAAGGGGGAGAACAAACGATCCGGTCCTACCTGCAAGCTGCATCCCGGGCGCAGACACCGCAACGGGAGATGGAGGCCGCAAGCCAGATCCTCGAGTCACTCCCATCCACACCAGCCAGATTCTCCCCAACACTATCAGAATCACAGCAGCAGCAGCAAGATGGTGAGTGGAGAGACATCATACCAAACCTACTCACCAAATCAGATTTCAAGGCCCTCTCAGAGCGCCTTGGACGTGTGGTCCGTGAGGAGGTGGCCCAGCTGCGCGCCGACATGGCGAATGTGGAGGCCCGCATGGCGGTGGCGGAAACCGAGACTAGGGCACTGAGAACAGATTTAGAGCAAACTAATACAGCAGTTATGAACCAAGAGGCTGATATAACCTACCTTACCACGTGGGTCGATGATTTAGACAACCGTGGCCGCAGACTGAACCTGCGGGTCCGCGGAGTGCGGGAGGGGGGCCCCTCAGAGAACGTGCCAGAACTGCTTAGACAAATTTTTACCCACGTTTTGGGTGGTCAACAAGTACCCAGAATTGGCCTGGTCCACGCACACAGGGCTCTAAGACCCCTACCAGCACCCGAAGAACAACCCAGGGACATCATATGCTGCCTTGACAACTATCACCTTAAAGAAGAAATATTACGCACAGCCCGTACACAACTACGGCATGGGGGCCGTCCGCATGGAAGGCCAGACCATCTCCGTCTACCAAGATTTATCCAGATACACCCTACAAGCCAGGAGAGCCCTGCGCCCGGTGACATCAGCCCTACAACAGGCAGGCATCCAGTACCGCTGGAGCTATCCGTTCTCGCTCTCGGCAAGACACGGACAAGACCAACTAATAGTAAGAAAGCCGGGAGACGTCCCGGGATTCCTACGTAGCCTAGGCCTCCCACCACAACAGGTCCCAGACTGGTTGGCGAGATCGTTTCTCCAACAAGCACCAGGACCTCAATTTCCATGCAGACCCAACGCAGGCCCGCAAAGACCCCAGCAACAGCGACAACGTGACTGGGACCAGGGCCCAGCAAGGAGGGAGCAATGACCAAGCACCACACAGCAAAGCCGGGGGATGGGGAAGGGGACTCAGGCACCAAAGAAAAGCCTGAACGAACCGTGAGTACCAACCGAAGGGACATACCCATACACATCACACAGGTCAGCAAGAATTGGGGTGGGGAATTAAGGAGCGCAGGGGAGAGGGGGAAGTAATTATTTGCTGCCACATCTACCATACATCACGGGGGACTATACCCCAAGAGGACAAGCCCCAGGATGACCCCATACCACCAAACATACCATGAGTAAGGGGGGGACAGGACATTTTGGGGAGGGGGACGGGGAGATGTGCAAACGCCGACAACGCAAGAGGCACACGGGCAAACCAGCCAACACCTTCGCAGACCCGCACCAGGAGGTGCAAATAAGAAAGACGCTAAAGACATTGAAATATGTTAATAAACCAACCATTGACCCGAGAGGGGGGGATGGGGAGGCAGGAATGCGGGGAATGTAACTGAGGGGTAGGGAGAGGGAGACAAGACAGGAGCTAACATCGAGACTGGAGCAAGACGAGATATGGGGACAGGGGGAGGGGAAGGAGGAAATACACGGACCGACAGGATACACATAAGAGGGACAGGAAGGAAGAGGAATGTGGGGGAGGGAAGTGGATAAGGAAGGAGGGGGAAAACGAGCAAAACCGAACAGAGAAGAAAAGAGGGGGGGGGAAAGGGGCAAGGCAGCCTAACTGTACCCAGAAGTAGGGGCACGGGACATGCAGTGAGAGCAGACGCCCCTATTAAAGCAAACAGAGGCATGACCAGACGCCCAACCCCAATCTAGGCCACACAACATACATAAACAGGAGATGGGTAACTGGGAAAGGGAATGGCGAGATAGGTGTCACATCAGGTCTCGCACACAGACGTATCGTGTATCATTGCAATCTGGTATGCAGCTTTTCACATGTGTTATATCCTGACTAAAAATTTGATATTCATGTACACCTGACTCACATCTAGGCATAATGTGTAGCACTGCAAATCCGGCATCCCGCCTAACATGCTTTATATTTTGACACAAATGTGATGTCCCAGTGCACCTGACCCACAATAGAGCCAAAATAGGACACAAAACGCGCATAGAGAGGCAAGCACGACAGCGTATTAAGCACAGAGACCCAGACAGAGCATGGTAGGAAGACATCATAGCGAGAAACACCACAGATACCAGACCGCCCACACACAGACACAAAAAAAACATCGTTAACAAGACGCAGACTTGGATATAACGCTAAACCCCCCGCGGGCCACAGGATGGCCCCCCCTCTATCCCCAATTAGATAAACACTGCCCAACAGATGACCCCATAACGAAATGCCCCCACACTGTCAACCCAGCTTAGACTGACCTTAATCTAAACGGCCCACAAGGCACAACCCCACCGGGCACAACATGCCCACGGCAACGCAAATCCGACACGGAGAAGCCGCAGGATAGCGGCAAAGGCAGCACCTGCACAGCCCAGCACGCCACACACCCACAGACTCACGCCCAACACAAAACGAGACACAGAGCGGACAGAGCTTCAGCCACACAGCCACCTAGGAGATGAAGGACCAAAAACCACGAACAGCACAACCTATTATACACGACACGAGACGAACCAGTCCATCACGGACGAGTTGCCCGACACCCCCAAAGGTATAGGACACAGGAACCCCCGATATATAGGGGGCGTACAACTCCTGGAAACGACCCGCGCCCACCAATCGGCTGGGCTCACCGGTCAACTCACCGGGACAATTGTCCACTACCGGACAGTTCACAGGGACCCTACAGATAACACAGACCCACGTAGGGCCCACCCAGGCCCCAGCCAAACCCAGAACAATATCACAAAACACGTACGTGCACACCACAGCCATACCCGCACCCCCCACCCTTCCCTTCCCCCTCCCCCCCACTGTCCGTCCACCCCCTGCGGCCGCCCGGACGATGCCGGCCCCGGGCCCCAGCGTGTTCACCAGGGAGGACTTAAACATAATCTCCTACAATGTAAAGGGCCTCAATGTCAGAGAGAAGCGCACGAGACTCCTGAGAGACCTGAAACAATACAGGACATCAATAGCGTTTCTCCAAGAAACGCACTTTCAGGAGAGCAGGGCACCGGCCCTGAAGGACCGCAACTTTCAAACAGGGTACTTCAGTAACAACCCAGATAGACGAAACGCAGGGAGTATGCATTCTATTTTCCAGCAGAACCCCATACATAGAACAAGCCACCCTTAGGTGCAAACAAGGCAGATATATTTTCACTAAAGGCACTATCTTAGATCAAACTTACACATTCGCCAACATATATGCCCCGAACACAAAACAATACCATTTCCTCCAGAGAACTATGAGCTCCCTGATGAAGTTTACGGAAGGCACCCTGATCATTGGAGGAGACCTAAACCTGGCACTATACCCGGATCAGGACTCCACGTCTTCACATGGAGCAACACCTCACAACAGACATGCGAAAACACTCCGCCTCCTACACCACCACCAGTTGGCGGACTGCTGGCGAGCATTGCATCCAACTACCAGAGACTACACCTTCTACTCATCGGCACACTCAACATACACAAGACTGGATTATTTCCTAATGACACACCACAATCTAAACCTGCTTAACGCCGTGGAGATCCTGCCAATGACCTGGTCGGATCACTGCCCGATCCGAATGCGGCTGAAATCGCCGCTATGCAGACCCCGGCAGATGTCATGGAGACTAAACGAATCGATCCTCTCGGACGTGATAGTGACAGACAAGATTAGTAACTCCATACGAGATTACTTCCAAAACAATGAGACGGATGACGTGACACTACTAACATGCTGGGAAGCTCACAAGACAGTAGTCAGAGGCCAGATCATCGCGCTATATGCAACCCGCAAGAAGGCAGCAATGCGGGAGACGCTCGAGCTTAGCAAGGACATCACAACCCTAGAGACCAGGCACAAACGCACCCTCGACGCATCGACATACAGAGAACTCACAGCCAAACGAAACCAACTCACCACACACCTCAACCGAGCAATTCAACGCTTCTACCAACACTACAGACACATGATACATGAACACGGGGATAAATGCGGGAGGCTGCTGGCAAACCTTCTGAAACAACGTAAAACCCAACTATACATCCCAAAGATCAAGGACACGCAGCAACGACTTAGGCACCTCCCGGACCAGATCGCAACAGAGTTCCACACATATTACCAAGGCCTATACCACCTCCGGCGAGACGAACCGGGAGAACCGCAACCGAACAAACTCATCGACATACACGGATACCTAGACTCGGAAGCACTAGAAGCCCCCATTACGCCGGAAGAAATGGCATACGCCATTAAGAAGGCAAAAACAGGCAGGGCACCGGGACCAGACGGGCTGCCCCTTCAATACTACAAAGTTTTCACACAAGACGTCATGCCAAAACTACTGAAAGCCTTGAACTCCATACAAGAGGGAGCCACACCAACCGCCCAGTTCTCGGCGAATATCACTCTACTCCCAAAGGAGGGAAAAGACCCAACACTATGCTCAAGTTACCGCCCAATATCGGTGCTGAACACTGACATCAAGCTTCTGGCCAGCGTACTGGCGCTACGACTGGCGCCATTACTACCGGCCACAATACATCCGGACCAAACGGGGTTCATCCCGGGCAGGGAGGTGAGGGACAACACCATCAGAGCCCTGAACATCATAGCGCATGTCAGAACTCAACAGAACCAAACCCTTCTCTTGTCCACAGACGCGGAGAAGGCATTTGACAGGGTGGACTGGGACATGATGATGGAAACCCTCCACGCCATGGGAGTAGGACCGAGGTATGGCATTTGGGTGAAGGCACTATACACCAGCCCGACGGCGCGAATCAGGATTAACGGTGCACTGACAGACCCATTCCGGATACATAACGGGACCAGACAAGGCTGTCCACTATCGCCATTACTCTTTGCACTGACACTGGAGCCATTCCTAAACAGGATCAGACACAATTCCGCCATCCAGGGGCTTACAATCGGAAACACACATCACAAAACGCTAGCGTACGCAGACGATATGCTGTTCGTAGTCACGAACCCAGAAACTTCCCTACCAGCGATACAGTCAGAATTTGAGGAATACGGACGAATCTCAAACCTCCAAATTAATTATTCAAAATCAGAGATACTGAACTTAACCATCAAACACACGGACAGACATACACTTCAGAGGCACCACCCATACCGTTGGTGCGACCACCGCATACGATACCTGGGGGTTTGGCTTACTTCCAATCCAGCAGACCTGTACACACAAAACTACCTCCCCATATTAAAAAAAGTGACGGAGGAACTGCATAGATGGAGCCCATATTACATCTCATGGCTGGGGAGGATAAATGCGGTCAAGATGACACTACTACCCAAACTACTCTTTGTGTTCCAAACAGTACCGATACAAGCCCCACAAACATTCTTCAAGGCATTGAAGGCAGACGTTTATATGGAAGGGCAGACCCCCACGCATAACGTATACCCAGCTAATCCTACACAAACTCCGAGGGGGCCTAGCGCTCCCCGATTTTGAAAGATACTATCACGCAGCACACCTTACACGAGTCATCAGCTGGACGGTAGCCAGCGGCACGGACCCAACTGGAATCCGATACCATCAACTGTGACCTCCGGACACTGCCTTGGATATCCGCGACGGCGTACAGGCGCAAACGCATCACTAACCCCTTCGTGGCGGCAACCATGAGGGTCTGGCACAGGCAGGGCACAAAACACTACCTGACGACAGATCCAGGCCCGCTGTTGCCACTAAGAGGCAACCCAGACTTCCCAGCAGGCGACCTTTGCCCCGCACCGGGCCCAGCAGGACACCCAACAATTCCTCGCATGGCAGACGTCCTTGTGCACCCGTTCGGCATTCGGCCATTAACAGAACTCCTCCCGGACAGACCACTCACTTTCTCACACACACTGGCGAGAGCGCAAATCTCCCAATATGCCCGATCCATCCCGCAAAAACCATCCCTACTGAGGGAAACTACACAATTTGAAAACCTGTGCACGCAAACCACAGAAACACCCCGAGCCATCTCACAGGTATACACAATATTGGTCACTAGTAGGTACATATTGGCACCGCCCTGCATAAGGAACTGGGAAGAAGACCTAGACGAGACCATGTCGGAAGCGGACTGGGACAAGTGCATCACCCTAATACAAAAAACACCAAGCTCAGCACGCCTGCAAGAAAACTCTTACAAGATACTCACCAGATGACACCGACAGCGCACCACATCAGGAACCCAGGTATACCAGACACCTGCTGGAGATGCGGGGAGGAAACAGGCACGTTTCTACATATCTTGTGGGCATGTGCACGACTCCGGCCCTTCTGGGACACAATTAGAGATATAATATACGAAGTAACAGACGAGACGCTCCCGGGGTCCCCAGCCGCCTTTCTCCTCCATCACACCAACATGACCGCGCAGACATACATCAGATCAGTAATACCGTGGTTGCTGAACGCAGCCAAAACAATCATCCCCATCTACTGGAAGCAGGTAAACGCACCTCCGATAACATGATGGCTGGAAGAGGTGGAAACCACCAGGAAATTCGAAGATATAAAGGCAAACACTCCGAAACTTAGGGACCGATACACCAAACGCTGGTTTCACTGGATATGATTAACCGCATCAAATGACTTTCAACGCCGCCTGGTCACACAGTAACCAGAAAGGATGAGACAAGGAAGGCTGCGATCGGGGACCGGGCGGGAGGCGGAGGGAGGTGGCGGACGGTGGCGGACGGAGGCGGCGGCAGGGGACGGAAACACTCATACCCCCCCCAACACCCTCTCCCACCCCCCCCATTTCAACCCCCAACCACACCCATTAAACACACCTCGAAGGACAGACACAGTAGCAAAACATAACCGAAAGGCCTAAACAAGACACCCCCACACAACGAGACTGACAGGCGACACTACCAGAATGAAGCAACCCTACACAGCGCCACAAGAAACTCAACCCTTAATGGACCCATAGACAGCCAAGACACAGAGTGGGGCAACACCGCAGACAGCACAGGAAGGAAAAACACACATGGGAGACACAGAACCAAAAGTTGGCCACGCCACATACACACACACCTAACCGAAGCCATTAAAACCAGACACAAAGGGGAACACCCATCAGAACACGTACAGTGACAAACGCAGTGCACAAATAGACGCACACGACCATGGAACACCAAACTACACAAAGCAACAGATATTCAGACGCACAGGTAGCTTGCAAACACAGGCACCAGAGCAAAACAGTACAAGATTAAGCAGAAACACTCAAAACAATATTCACAGATGCAACTGTAATATAGATACACTGCAAGTCATACAGATGTAAAATGCGAGTAACTAATTATACATATATCTGCTGTATTACGCATGCAATGACCAACCAGCCTCTGTGTAGGCGACGTAACGCAAACAAATGTATGGAATGCAACCTTGCGCCCCTGCATGGGCAACCTTTACTTCACTACTCACAAAGATGCTACCTGCACATGTGTTATGACAACAATAAAAATATTCAAAACAAAGAACAGGCTCACATATAGGCACCCTAGTTTATTTCTCGATAATATGGGAACCCATGTACACTTAATATAATTTGTTTGTTTATGCATCCCTCTACCAGTATCACATCAATAGCTAAGGCATACATCAGCACTTGTATTATAGGATGGTCATTTCTTTTAACACTGCATTAGTTTCCCTATATACTTCATTACATGTATTGCATGATCAGCTACAGTTTACTTCAGATTGACGCATTATAGGATGTTGTTACCTTTTATGCTGTAATGCTTAGCAATGTATTCCTGCAAAGTTCAAGTACGCCTATATGTTCTGATCATTACGCCTCTGCGCAGGCGATAATCTGCATTTATTCCTATGTGCTAACATTTAAGCCTCTACGTAGGCGACCGTTCACCTTAACGAATGCTATAAATTACTGCTTAAGCCCCTGCATGGGCAACCTCTGGCTTTATTACGAACCAGTGCGCAATATGCACTTATATTGTGAAAACAATAAAAATATTCAAAACAAACTTAAAGATTGCAGTTTATTGATAAGCCTTCTATGTGCAACAGTGTCAAAAGCCTTACTGAAATCTAGGTAAGCAATGTCTACTACACCACGCTGATCTATTATTTTAGCTACCCAATCAAAAAAATCAATAAGATTAGTTTGGCATGATCTCCCTGAAGTAAACCCATGTTGTCTCTGATCTTGAAATCCATGTGTTTTTAGATGTTCAACAATCCTATCCTTTAACATGGTTTCCATCACTTTCCCCACTACTGAAGTAAGGTTTACTGGCCTATAGTTGCCCGACTCCTCCCTATTACCTTTCTTGTGAATGGGTACAACATTCGCTAACTTCCAATCTTCTGGGACTACTCCTGTTAATGATTGGTTAAATAAATCTGTTAATGGTTTTGCTAGTACACCACTAAGCTCTTTTAACAGCTTTGGGTGTATTCCATCAGGTCCCATTGACTTATTTGTCTTTACTTTGACAGTTGAAATGGAGCCTCCTCCTCTGTAAACTCACGTGTAATAAATGACTCATTTATCCTTTTTCTTAACTGAGGTCCCTTTCCTTCATTTTCATCTGTAAATACCGAACAAAAATATTCATTGAGGCAGTCAGCTAGACCTTTATCCTCTTCTACAACATAGCGGTTGTCACTGACCCATCACATAGCAGTTCTCACTGACCCATCACATAGCTGTTCTCACTGACCCATAACATAGCTGTTCTCACTGACCCATTAATATAGCGGTTCTTACTGACCTATAACACAGCGGTTCTCACTGGTCCATATCATAGCGGTTCTCACTGACCCATAACACAGTGGTTCTCACTGGCCCATATCATAGCGGTTCTCACTGATCCATATCGTAGCGGTTCTCACTGGCCCATATCATAGCGGTTCTCACTGGTCCATATCATAGCGGTTCTCACTGATCCATAACATAGCGATTCTCACTGACTCATAGCACAGTGGTTCTCACTGGCCCATATCATAGCGGTTCTCACTGATCCATATCATAATGGTTCTCACTGGTCCATATCATAGTGGTTCTCACTGATCCATAACATAGCGGTTCTCACTGACTCATAACACAGCGGTTCTCACTGGCCCATATCATAGCGGTTCTCACTGGCCCATATCATAGCAGTTCTCACTGGTCCATATCATAGCGGTTCTCACTGACTCATATCATAGCGGTTCTCACTGA